AGATAGGATATGTCATTCCTTGTATGCTAATGAAGTTATCACATTGCACTTGAATAAATGTCTACTCAAGAAATATATGACCACGGTAGGAATACACTAATAAAGCATAATTGGTTTACTCTAAGAGCTAAGATATTTGACAATCGAAGAAAGCTTGTGTGATCATAATCAAACAGATTAATAACCAAGTTCGAGATCACATTACGATAAATTAACATGAGGACCGAATTGTGTGGTAATCATGCTTGTGAAAGGTAATTACGAATTAATTAATCCTCCAAAAGAATTAGGTAGTCATGTTACCTTGTTAGAGGTCAATCTTGATTTATGCATCGAGAGATAAAAGATGTGTCTTTTTTTCTTGATACATTGCCAACATATCTAGGAGCCTATTGAGTCACATGCATAAGTTTAAGCATTCACATAAGAAAAGAGAAGCAAAGATTTTGGAAAATGTTTCTAATTTTGTAAGTTTCCTATTTTAAGAAAAGTTTCCTAAAATGAAAAGTTTCCTAAAATAGAAAGGTTCCAAATATGGAAGTTTTTCAAAATGGAAAGTTTTCAATTTTTTTTAAATCAAATTTCTAATTTGGAAGTCGAGTTTCAAATTTAAAAGTAAGTTACTTAAAAATAAAATTAGTTTCTTAATTTAGGTTTAAGGGTAATTTGGGAAATTATTTCCGATGTGGGCTTTCTAAAAATATCTAACTTAATTTATTTGGATAATACAAATTAATTAGTAATTAATTGGGCCAAAAGATTTTGAGCCAATAGGTTTAATTTAAAAGCCTACAAGATATTTTGATGGGAAGATAAATATAAACCTTATTGAATAAGGATCAAGATTTAAAAGGATAAAATCAAAAAGTCCACATGTATTACAACTCTTAATCCTTGGAAAATTATGAAGCAACAACCTAGAGTCTTTTTTAGTACTTAATGTCACCACTTATTTTTCCTAAGAGGAAAAGGAAGACACTTCCCCTAAAAATAAAAGGGGAGGTGCGACAAAGAGGGATGAAGTGCTAGGGCATACATGGCATAGAGTAAAAAAACAATAAAGGGAAAGTAGTTTTCTCTTTCCTTACACATGCCACCTCTCTCCCTCTCTCTTAGGATTATCATAAAATATCCTAGAATAGATTTGTAAAGAGAAAATATTAAATAATTCAGAAAAAGATGAAGCTAGCACTCTATAACTTCGAGTGCTTGGACTTCATGGATTATCGATAGAGGCCAAAAACTTGAACGGCTCCTTTTACGTACAAGGTGAAAGTATCTACTACAAAAGCAATCCTTTACTCATGCTTTAATTCATATATGAATGATTAGTTGATTCAATGGCTTAATCTTTAGAGCTTTAGATGGAGGAAAATTTTTATTTTTTTCTACACCTCTATAGGATGCATAATCCTTCAAATCACTTCACCCTCTCCCCTAAGATTCTTATATTTTGACAAGTTTAAAATTTGTACAAAATTTTTTAGTTATAAAAATTCTTCATAAACACTCCCTAACGTGTTTCACTTAAATTAATGACACTCAACGCTTATGTTTGCTCTCCTTTCGACATTTTCTTATAATGAGCTCACAAGCTATAGCCTTTTACCACTCTAAATCGATCTTTTAGTTCTTTCACAAAATAATGCAAACCATAAAAGAACTAACCAACCACAAGTGACAAACAAGTGCTTGAATCAAATTTACTTTCTAATGATTAGATTTCAAACAAGTTTGGAAAAAGGAATTGATAAACCAATTCAAACAAGAATTTTAGGTTTTCGAATAGAAAAAATGACACTAGAACTGACTTGAATTAAATTTAATGAAGACCTAAGTTGATTGTTTTGGAGAGAAACTAATCACAATCTTTTAGCACACAATTTAATGTTTAGCTACCGACTTAAAACACGTGAGATAAACTTTTAAAGCTACTAAGTTAAAAAAAAATTGACAATGATGACAAGTCGAACACAAACAATTTAGCACACACAAATTATGTTTTTTAGCTACTATTGGAATGAAAGAAAAAAACTAATTCCAAATGACACTAGGACTAATTTTTTTTTTTTTAGGATTAAATAATCACAAGTATTTGGAAAGAAGACACAACTAAATTTGAACACAATTATTGACTTATAGTTACTGATTTAAACAAATTTGACAATGAAAACAAGTTTAACACAATCAATTTAGTACACACAAATGATATTTTTAGCTACTGATTTGAAACAATCAAATTAATTTTTCTTTAATTACTGATTTCAAATCAAATAATACAAATATGCTAGTACCTCTTCTTCTTCTTCTTCTTCTTTTCATTTTTAATGCTACAATATCTCTACAACTCTTTTTTTTTTTTTTTTTGTAAATTAGAATGTTTTCTTTTAGATTTGGAATAAAAAGAAAAAAATTTAGAATTGAATGACAAGACAAACCTGGATTAAACAAGACAACAATGAATGAAACACAATAGGATAGAAACAAATCAAACATCTTTTTTTTTTTTTTTTTGAATTGTAACTTACTCAATTTGGATTAAAATGAAACTATAAAGACACGAAAGTAGAATAAAGATAATGAAAAAAAAAAATCTAATTTAGAGTCAAGCTCGATACCAAGCTGATGCGAATCTACCTAGCTCGATGGCTAGAGAACTCATGAAAAAAAAGATAGAATTTTGAAAAAGCCAAATTAGATTTAGAAATGAAGGATGTTAGATGCACACTCTAGAAGGGTAGAAAAGGAGTGATAAGTTTATGTGAACGTCACACACTCTAGAAGGGTAGAAGGGGAGTGATAAGTTTATGTGAATGTCACAAGAATGTGAAATTCTTGATAAGTTTGAAGGATGAATGCAACAAGAACGATTAGTCCATGATAAGTTTGAAGTATTCTTAAAGAACTAAAGAGAATAAATCTCACAATAATGTTTAATTTGATTGATAAAAGATTGATTAAAAATTACAACCTATTTAGCTAAATAAGTTGCTAGAATTCGGAAAGATAAGTAAAATTAAATTCCATAAGACCTAACAATCGAAATATTTGATCCAACAAAGCTTTGAATAAGTCTTCTTGAAATTTAAAGAAAACTCCTTAAATTCAGCAACTATAATTATAGATCAAAGCTTAATGAATGTTGACTTGAAAATAATGTCGACTTTGAAAAAACTTGAAAGTGAGCTGATTCATTAGTTACAACTTAATAATTTTGACCCAAAACATCAAGACAAGAAGGTTAAGCCAAATTAGACTTTAAGTTTGAAAATTTTAGCCCAATAGCATAAATCAGATTCATAAGGGCTAACTAATGTTTTTCAAGCCCAATGATGGAGAAATCACCTATTGATATTGAACAAGTCTATTTAAGGAGTCATGGAACTTCTTGGCCCTAGCCACTTGTAATTAGGCCCATTATAATGGCCTTAGCTCTTGTGATCAAAGCTTAATGAATGTTGACTTGAAAATAATGTCGACTTTGGAAAGGATTGGAAGTGGGTTGATTCGAGTAGTTGCAACTTAATAATCTTGGCCCAAAACATCAAAACAAGAAGGTTCAACCAGATTGGACTTTAAGTCTAAAAATTGTAGCCCAATAGCATGGATTAGATTCACGAGGCCCAATTGATGTTTTTTAAGCCCAATGATGGAGAAATCAGCTTAGTGATGTTGAAAAAGCTTATTTAAGGAGTCATGGAACTTCATGTCTCTAGCACTTATGCTTGGGTCTACTAGAATGGCCAAATGATCGGTCTCTTCAAGCCCAAGCCCAAGCCCACGCCCGGATTGTAAATCACTTGAAAGCCCATGACCAACCTCTTGATTAGCATTTGGAAGCGCACAACTCAATTAACATGCATTCATCTCGGCCCAAATGATAACTGAATCAACCCATTTTGATCCGAGCTTTAATTCATATTGTGGGCTCATTAATTTCATTCCAAATACCAAACTATGACTTCTTTTAAAACCCATTTCCATGCAAATCAGCCCTCCTAAATTTTGTGTAGCCCAAATTTATTCATGGAATAATCTATTTAATTTTGTATAATTCTAATTCTCCAAAGATGTCGGTTTCGATTATCGAACCTAAACCTATAAATTAGGTTTGGTCCGATTAACCTATTATAGGTTATGTTCGGTTAGATTCAAGTTTGTAAATCAAAAACTTTGACCTAAAGTCTAAAATTTACAGGTTCCATTCAATTCAAAGCTATAATCAGGTTTCGTTTTCCTATTTTTCAGATTTGGTTCATAGAGTTTGATTCGATTGCCAATTTCACAGGTCTCTTTCTTTTTTTTTTTAAAATACCTCTAATTGCCATACTTTTTAATTCTTAAAACATATCTTAAATATTGAAATCATTGCATTATAAAAACAATACCAGATTATCAGTAGCAATTTACGATTTATACTCTGATCTTTACTTTTAAAATATTTAGGGTCATGATTTATTGAGTGACGCATTCATAAAATTTTCAATATCAATCAATTTGAAGAAGAAAATATTTTACGGGACTTGTATTTTTGAAAATTGAAGTCTTGAATATATAGGTATAATCTATGATTTAAAAAAATAAAAAAAAAGATCGCTTTAAAATTATTATTTTTCACGTAAAATAAGATTATTTTCGTGTGTTTATAATAAATAACGGAATGAGAATAAAAAAGAAATTGAGAAGAAAGTATCCTACTCGTGTTGGTTGTAACAAAAGGTTACTTTTCTGTTGAATGGTTTTTCACTCGTTAGTAAGTCATAAAAAAAGAAACTCTATTTATCAATTAAACTCAGCGTTCATCTCCATTCCCTATCCACCGTTTAACATTTCTCCCCGCTCATGCTCCGATCTACCTCCACAGATTTGCTTTTGTAATTTTGTTCAATTCCAACTCTGTCTAGGGTATTGATTTCATCATCTAGGGTTTGTTTGAGGTTGTCAACTGGGTCTTACCTTTTTCTGTTGGATAGATCTCAAATTTCATTTGATTCAAGTCAATGTCAGAAGGTGGTTATGCTATTGAGCTTTATTTCGATCCAGCACTTGAAAACCAGGTGTTGAAGGCCTGGAACGTGCTAGCTCGACGCCAAATAAGTAGCCATCTCATTGAAATCGAGTCTCGCCCTCATATAACCCTTTATTCAACTCCCTTTATCGATCCCACTAAGCTTGAATCAATCATCAAGACTTTCGCATCTAAGCAAGAACCATTACCCTTATCACTTTCCACCATCGGTTGCCATCCAAATGAAAACAATCTTCTGTTTTTAGCCCCGACGCCTTCGCTTTCTCTTCTTCAATTCCATTCTCAGTTGTGTGATGCAATGAGGAAGGAGGGGATTGAGATTACTGAAGAGTATTGCCCGGACAATTGGATTCCTTATTGTGCAGTGGCTCAGGATGTCCCAAAGGCAAGAATGGGTGAGTCTTTGTGTGTTCTGAGAGATTTGAAGTTGCCAGTTGCTGGGTATGCAATGGATATTGGGTTAGTGGAGTTTTCGCCTGTTCGTGAGTTATTTTCGTTCGTGCTTGGTAACACAGTAGAAGGATGAGGTTTATTTTTTTATTTTTTTTTAATGTGTTACCTTTACAATCTTCTAGTTATATGTCGAAAGTTGCTAGTTTACAGCGTACTAGAGAATTTGCATTTTGTGTTTATGATGATAGTTCCTAGATGAAAATTCTACATGCTTACATTTCATTTCAAGTATTCAGGATTGCTTCTTATGTTGGCTTGTGTACATTTCGTCCAAAATGTTGAGTGTGAAAATTAGGTCGAAGAATGCCAAATATAATCGCTTGTTCATTAATCCAATCCACTTCCTTGGCTGCTAGCCTACACAATCATTCAATGTTTTGATGTTTTAGTCATTTTGTTTGGAGCTCTATATGGTACTCAATTATTTGCGAGTTTTGATAGTTTTTCAGTTCTTACAGATGGAGTGGATATGTTATGGTACTCAATTATTTGTGAATTTAATGAATTTTAGCATAAGCATATATATATATATATATATTTATTGAAATAACATCTAGGCTATAACTTTTACAACCTTAGCGTCTGTCAAACTATTTGCAATAATACGTATATTTCCTCAGATGTTTTAAACTAAATGACTTCCTAGCTATTGTTCTATGATTTTTTGTGTTTTATTGCTCACATGTGAGAGTTCTATTTGTTTATTTATTTATTTTTATTAGGTAGGATATCGTATTCGGTCAATAGTAAGGTTAAAACTGGTTTTCAACTAGGTCAGGTGGCTCGAAAAGATTTGTTTTTTTTCCAGGTATATTATAGTGTGCTGTTTTGCCCATTTATCTTCCCATGTCACTTTCTACTAGTTACAAGTCTTTTGTAGAGTAATGATCTTCTTTAGATTTCTAATCGTAGTTCGGAGTAGGCTTTTCTTAGGGTTTACATTGCATGTAATGCCCTCTTGAATTGGCCAGTGTATTGGTGCCATTTCAATCTCTGAATTCTTTGATGGTTGGGTTTGTTTTCAAGATGGTCAGTTTAGATCCAAAATGCCTGAAAACTTTGACCTGACGAGTTCTCATTTAAGGCTTATTGTTTATTTTGGTTGGTGGTATTGTTGCCAATCCAAGTTGTTCTCTCATTGGTATGCCCTTCTTTTTTCTTTTTTTTTCCTTTCCCGCCATGGGATTGGTTTTGCAAGAAGCCTGTTTCCTTGCCAGGATTGTATCAAATATGGCATCAGAGTCCTGTATGTGCCTATGATCCCAGGTTTAGAACGTTGGGAAAAACCCATTTTGCTAGCTTACTGGATGTTATTTGTCACAATAACTGGGAGCTAGTAGAAATTTAGTGGTCAAAACAAAGAACTACTACCAAGAGAACATATGTTGCTTTGCGGAACGAAGTTGTGCTCTGAATCTATCTGCACTAGTTTAGAGATCCATTTTCAACAGTAGAAGTGCATCAATCAGTATTGAACACATCCTTTTCAGTTTTCTACTTTGCATTTTTCAGATAATGTTACTGGTTTTGCTGTAATGCCTTGAAATCTACCACCTATCTAAGCCGGTGCATTTTGCCGTTTCAGCTGAGCTGGGAAGAGATCCGTTAGATGTCCACAAGATTGAACAAAATCTCAAGGGGTGGTGTAACTGACACACATCATGTCTATTAGCACAACACTTACTCACAAAATGGCTAAACTGTCTTTGATATTTTTTGAGTGTTTTGTCTTTCTTTGACCGCATACCTATTTTGTCCGTCCCCGTCTCAAACAATCTTTCACTCCTCTGGCCTTCTATCGATTAAAAAAGAAATCTCCTTGGTCATCTCCCTACAAAATATTTTTCTTACCCCTTTTCATTACCGATCTCAATTATAGCCACCAAGGTTCTCGTGATTGATCCATTAAATTTATTTGTGGTGTTAGACATCCCAATTTTTTTCTCCCAAAGTCTTGCATAAAATGCTTTCACTGCCAAGAATGTTAAGAACATAAAAGAGTTATTTTCTCTATAGAACTACAAACCAGCGAGTCAAGAACCCATCCCTGCAAATCAAGAGCTAAGATCTTGAGTTGAGGAAGCCAACTACTGCAAAACATACCTCATTCATTGTTTGTCCTTTGACCCATATAATAACTCGATTAACCATCTAAGCTACGCATCTTGGTCAGCACCTAAACGAATGGGATTCCAAATTTTCAGATTTTTTTGACGAGGTCCTATTATGACCTCCTTTAATCTGGTTTGATTTGTCTTAAACTTTGAATGATGTAGATGGCAACGCTCATGACGTGACAGTGTAGTAATAGTAATAAATATAATGTTTGAGGATATCTTTGTCATTTCAAGTAAAAATGTTGTGCGATAGATGCAATAAGTACTCCGATAACATTACAATGTTGAAATAATAATAATAATAATAATAATAATAATAAAAGATTCTTAGGATAACAGTAAAAGAATTGAAAAAAAAAAAAAAGCTAATAGAAAAATACTTTCATTATAAAATAAAGTAAATACAAGTTATAATAATTTTAAACAATTACTTTAATCTTTACAAAAACATTTCAAATCAAACTAATGAACAATCAAGTCTATTTATAAGTTTCAATATTACAAAGGACTATGAATAATTAAATCCTGCATAAATGATTGAATCAATTGTATCACATTTTCAATTTCTTATATTAATTAATGAATTGGATCACATTAAGAATTATGAGTATTTGAAATATGAAAAGAATATAGGCATTCATATGGACATTTATTATTTCATAACACTCCTCTTTAAATGTCTATTATTCAAGGAACATGTCTCATTAAAACCTTACTAAAAAAAAATTCGGTGGAAAAAAAGTCATAGTAAAGGAAAAATAGTACAATATTTTTTGTAAAAATTAATCCTTATGTTGGGCTTTTCTTGTTAAAAACATTAAGACCCCATCCCAATTTTCTAAACCATCTTCTCAAAAGTTGTGATAGGTAATGCCTTCGACCAATCATCTTTATATCGATAATTTTCATAAATTTAGGCTTAGGATCCTTATTTTCATTCAAAATATCAATTGCAACATTATATATAAAAATATTATCAATTGATGTTTCTTTTCGATCTCGTTTTCTTCTTGTATTAACATAACTTATCAAAATCTCTTGATTTTTCTCAAGCATTTGGACTTCTTCTAAAAGCCTATTATAAAAAATATCTTGGATCATTTTATGAATATATTCCCTTTTTATATTTTCATCTTGATTATTTTCTCTTCTATTCTTTCAAGAATTTTTGTCTCTAAAATTGATCGGTCTTCCATGCTTTAGACATGCTTTAGATTCATTTGCAAACATTAATGTGTTGTCCTACTAGGACATCAATTCTAATAGGAGCATTCTTAGTGAGGACTTGCATTTTAGGCAAATCATCTTTATATTGATATTTTTTACAGATTTAGGCTCAAGATCCTTATTTTTATTCAAAATATTAATTGCAATATTATATGTAAAAATATTATCAATGGATGTTTCTTTTCAATATCATTTTCTCCTTGTATTAACATAACTTATCATAATCTCTTGATTTTTCTCAAGCATTTAGACTTCTTCTAAAAGCATGTTATAAAAATATCTTGGATCGTTTTATGAATATATTTCCTTTTTATATTTTCATCTTGATTATTTTCTCTTCTATTCTTTCGAGAATTTTTTTCTTTAGAATCGATCTGTTTTTCATGCTTTAGGCATACTTTAGATTCATTTGCAAACATTAATGTGTTGTCTTATTGGGACATCAATTCTAATAGGAGCATCCTTAGTGAGGGCTTGTATTTTAGTTACTCTTTTTGGATATGAGAATCCTTTGGCGGTTGGTTTGCAAGACTTTTGAAATGAATTATCTTTTGAACTTATAGTTTACATTGTTTTATGCAAGGATCAAGATGATGTAAAAATATAGTACTCCATGTAATCTCTTTTTCTTATATTTCTAATTGTTTATTTTTCTTATTCTCCTCTCTTAATGTTGGAAAAGTTATTTAAGCGGAATGACGATCGACAAATGACAAATCAAATTATGATAATATTCTATATTAATGGTTCAAGATATATATATATATATATATATATATATATATATATATATATATATATCCAATCTCATTTGAAGCCAATTTTAGTTCATTGTGGATGAGCAATAGGGACATATACTTGCACGAAAAAAATTCTTAGATGAGAAATATTTGATTTATGACAAGAAACCAATTAAAGGAGGGAGAATTTTAAAAATCTTGTGAGTCTTACATGAACAAGTGTTGCTACATGTAAGATTGCATGTCCCCAAATATAAACATAGAGTTTGGTTTTCATAAGTAATGATCTATCTATTAATTAAAATCTTTTGATGAATGATTATGTTAAGCCATTCGAGTATGAACATGAGCAATAAGTTATTCAATTTTTATTCTAATAGCCATGCAATAATTAATAAATGCTTGAGACGTAGGTTTACTAGCATTGTCAATATAAATTATTTTAATGGCATAATTTAAAAATTATGCTCATAATCAAACTATTTGAGCAAACAACCTCCGAAACATCGAGTTCAAATTAATAATAAGCATACATGTGACCATCTTGTAGATGCTTCTATTAAAAAAAAAAAATCTAAATGATGTTGGATGAATTGGTCCATATCTATCATCTTGAATATATTCTAAAAATATTGAGAATTCAATTTCAAATTTACATGGTGATGGCTTAATAATAAGTTTACCTTGAAAACGTACAAAAGATAAAAATTCATTAAATTGAAGAATCTTATATCTCTTTAATAGATTCTCATATAAATTTTCAATAATTTTACATCATGAAGGACCTAGGATGGTCCAACTGATCATGTCATATAATAAAACTATTAGAATTAGTAAACTTTTGATTTTCTATAACATTTGTTTTAATCATTTGAATGTTTGTGTAGTAAAGATCGAAGAAAAAGTTTAACACCCCTAACCTAGGACCTAAAGTAGGTCGAAAGTATTACCAGCAATGCTTCACATTTAAAGTGCAATGAATATGAGAA